ATTACACATAGAAACAGGAAAGACGCGATGGAGACTAGAGCTAATTGGCTAACAATAACGTGTTTCATCATAAACCTGATCCTTGAATCACGACTATTGTTAGCCAACTATCTCTAACTTCCACTGTTTCAATCCTCTTTCTATCCCGAATACCAACTCTATGACTTGCTATGCCCTAGTCTCTTGTGTGCCAACCCACAAACGTTGTGGTTCAACATTGAACCTAAACGGTGACGGTGTGATAGGAGGATATAGGAAATGTGAATAGACCAGGGCAGAAGGGGAGATACCACAACTGTTTGGTCAAAGGATGGACTTCACTTGTCTCTGACGCGTTGTAATATGGTGCTACTAATGGCGAGACTCATTGACGATGCCGACGAAACGTCTGGGAATGTACCACGTCGACGGTCCTACTCTGGAAATGATGATGCATACAATGGACTCCGGACTAGGTGCGTTTCTCTAAGTCTTCCTACCAATATGACCGAGTTGCGAAAACAAGTTCAAACAACTCCCAGAATTTCTAATGACAGTCTCGAAAACCTAATTCTAAACGAAAACTAAGATAGTGGAATAAACATGATAAAATCACGAAGTGATATTCAGACCAGATATTTATCGGCACCACAATTTACATTTGATATCTGACAAATAATAGCATGGGCTAGTAACTTCAGCTGGCATACATCATAGATCTTTTGAATAAAATAGCACTCTCTCTATATATATTTTTTTTAATATTAATATTAATATATTAATATATATATATATAGTCCAAAAGTGAATAACCTCAACTGCTAGCCCTTTATCATCAACGCAGCTTAGGGTGAATCCAGCTCTAATTCAAGATCTACCCATAGTATTAAGACTTATTAATTGGGACAATAAGCATTATTTAAGCCAGTAGAAGCTCAACCTTCAGCATAATCATCTTCTCTCTGTAATGCTTTCAAGGAAAGCTTCATCCCATGTGTTGAAAAGTAGTAATGTGTAGTCGCAGTCTCCTTTCGTTGCATAGAAGTTGTTTGACCTTGTTTTCGCAACATGGTCACATTTGTAGGAAGACTTAGAGGAACGCAGCTAGTCCGGAGTCTATTGTATGCATCATCATTTCCAAAGTTGAACCGTGGACGTGGTACATTCCCAGACGTTTCGCCGGCATCGTCAGTGAGTCTCGCCATTCGTAGCACCATATTACAACTCAGGCTTCACTTGTCTCTTTGACGAGTTGTAATATGGTGCTACGAATGGCAGGACTCTCCAAAGATACCAGAGAAACGTCTGGGAATGTAACACGTCCACGGTCCTACTCTGGAAATGATGATGCATACAATGGACTTCGGACTAGGTGCGTTCCTCTAAGTCTTCCTACCAGCATGACCAAGTTGCGAAAACAAGGTCAACAACTTCTAGCATACATATAGTTTGAAAACAGGATATATTTGGGCGAAAAAGCGATGTTTAACAATTTGAGGCGTGTCAGAGTGACTAAAATGTAGACTGAATGGACGAGCTGTGCATAATGAAACGAAAAAGTCCTCACGATCCATGTAAATCGTCTTTACTTGTACTTTATTGGATATCGTAAATTAAGCTCTGAAGGGACGTCACAACTGCAAATCACGTCCTGTTACCATGACCCATGTCTGATAATTATGACATTTACTTGTATCAATTTCTTGGTCATCATTTTTCGTCTCGTAAGATTACATCGAAGCGATAATATGAAAATAATTGAGCGGGGAATCGGAGGAGGGGTGAATTATGATCTCCATTCATTAAAAAAATAGTAAAAACAGCCTTAATTGGTTAAATGAAAACCGGTCACGGTTGTGAGGATAGATTAAACGATTGAAAATTGCCATTTAGGTATAGCTCGCTAGAAGCTCAAGCGAGCATGTAAATAAGTGCACAGGGTGCGTGCAATCCAAGAGCACACAACAAGACATCAAGTGAAATTTTGCTTTATAAAAGTAAAAAATAAGTAATCATAAAACGATCTCCTGACTTGAAAACAGCCCAAAGCTCGGAAACAGTATCGAGAATGTGTCGGCCAAGTGGCAACCAGTAAAGCGGCGTAATTGGAGTTGGTACAACGAGGCTGTCACTATATTCACCGAAATCTAATTAGACAACGAATGCAAAATGGTAAGATTAATATATGGTTCGCATTTCCGCGGCTTGAGGATCGTACAAATAGTGATTTATGACATTATAAAATTCCGGTAAGATAATGAGGAAAATTGAGCAGATCCAGTTCCGGGTAGAGCCAAACAGTGGGGAAAATAAGAGAGCATAAATATTGAAAATTCAGGTGAACACAATCTGATAGAAGTATATGCTCTTTGAGCATCTTTAGCGTCATACATATACACCCTGTGGGAAATCAGTTTGAATAGCTGCTTACTCAAATATGAAATGACGAAGCTTTGGGACAGTGAGTGGTATCATATCAAATTAGGCAAATTTGGTGATTTTGTGGCTGGGGCCAGATAAGTTATTAGTTGGAGAATGAAAGATCAAGTGGTAGCTTTTCAAAGCGGTAAATTTAAAAAAAGGAGGAAGACCTTAAATGAAAAATATTCTCGAAAAACCATGTGATAATAAATGAGACGATTATTAGTAAAAAGTGTTGCTCTTATCGTTGAATATCGACACCATAAAACATATCGGAAAGACAAAAAAACTGGATCAGCGATTATGACGATTGGGAGGGCAGTTGAGGACGGTAGCGCGGCGATCGGGAAAGTCGAGATGCAGATTTTGTGCAGAATGGCAAAGCAAGCACCAGGCAGATGGTAAAATCTTAAAATAACAGCTCATAGGTCAAAGTTGGTCATTTGGAAGTGCTCAGGAAGAAAGATTCATTCGTTGTGATGGGGACTCGATGTACACCTCTCGGGATGCGAAGCATCGGAGCTACATACTCAAATCGTTCACAATCCGTCTCGAGTGAAGGTTGCAGAACACTTTTAATGGCCTGAATTGGTGCATTTTGCTGGGCACTGACAGTACGAGCTGTTGGATGAGAGAACAAGCAACGTGTGTGTTGATGAAAGGAAGTGTCCCGCACAAATGGCTGGGCGCTGGAACGTGGGGCCGCTTTGTTGGCTGAAGAGACAAATTCTAGTCGTGGTTGCCTTGGAGACTGAAGCCTCTGTTCGCCATCGGAGTGCACTACATCATTGGAACTACTACGATCCCCCACAGGACAGCAAGGCCTGAATTGGCCCAAATTGGTGTGCGCCGAGAGTGCTTTCACATGCCGGCCTGTACCATACAGATGAAGAGGGTTCTCAAAAGATTCGTGGCAAGCAGCAAAGTTCGGACGAGAAGAGCCAGTCTCCAGAAGGCTGTGTTGCGATCGACTCCTCTTCGGCTGGACAGACGAAATATGAAAATATATGGACA